TCAATCAAAGGGAGTGGTTGACTTTTCTGGTGGCTAAAAAAAGTCAATATCAAATATGCTTCAATTTTGAATTGATTTTCCCCAAAAAATTTGAACTGCATACAAACCAAATTAGTTGTAGATGAATTGGTAGTCCGTAAGTATCAATTTCAACGGAACTGGCTGGTTTGTTTTTGCAGATTCTGCAGGGTCCCTAGACAACCATGAGTTGAAACACACAAAAGATTACTATGTATTTTTGTCTTGTGCAGAAGTGTAGTATAAATTAGTGCATTAAAACCTGTGAGATTAAGGTTAACTTTTTCATGTAGCTTAAAAAGGCAATGAATCAACGAAAAACAGACATGGCTTGATATGAGTGCAGTGTAAAAATGCTGGTGAAATTATACTAATATGTTAAAACCAACGGTCCACTATTTTCACGGTTTTGCATTAATTATTTCAAAATTCACAACTAAGCTATCATGACCTACACATTAAAACAGTAAGAGGAAGTACTGAGAAATACACAACCCTAAGAGTATAGCTTACATAGGTAAACACAATACTTTATATGTCAGAAAATACAGCTAAAACAATTGTGCCAAGTACATTAGTACATGTTTTGCAGAATTGTGAAAAAGTAAGTAGACAACATTGGGATTCATAAAAGGCAAGCACAATTTAATATAACTAATGTCAATCCTAGTTGTGATACAAAGATTAACTGCATGGTGTAACTACATTGATTAGCATCAAGTCTCAACTATGTTTTTATTGTAAATATTATTGTTATATGGCCACGTCTAGTGGAAACTCTAGTGTGTAAAAATTATGGCTCTAAGGAAGATTTGTAAGATTTGAAGATTTTGATGGATCAAAGAAAGAGGAAGAGAAAACAATCGAGCCGCAAATCGACGAGAAGATCGAAAATGAGGAAGCAGAAGCACATTGACAATTTAGTTGTTTAAGTTGAAAGACTAAGAAATGAAAATTGAGGATGAGAATTGTGTTCTAATAGCTCAAATGTGTGAACTTAATCAAAGGATACAGAATAATGATTGTAGATAATTATCAGTATAATGAACCAACTATTTCTGAAGTTAATTAACAACTATTTCTAAAGTTAATTATCAGAATAATGATTGTAGATAATTGCTTCATGAATCAAATGAACATGTCATATTTTAACCAATAACCCATTATGGCTTCTACAAATATGTTTATGTGGTGAATTTTCGAACCTAAAAAAAGGAGAAATTTTTTTAAAGTTAAATCCAATATTTTGATGAACTTAATTGGAAAACAAAAAAGATTAATAGGTTGCTTTAGTCAGCTCAACATTGTTCGCTATTTTGAGGAATGAAAAAAAGGGCCATGAAAGTTACCAATGTTTATAACATAAAAAACACAGGGCCATGAAATTTGATTGAGTATGCTTTAGCTATTAGAGAAAGAGATACCGTTAAATAATCATGACATGCTTTCATAGTATAAGTTCATAACAGATTTAGTTAAACTTGATAATAGAGTCATAGGAACAACATAAGTTACAAAAAAGTTAATCAGCATAAGCTTAACATATTCAAAAAAGAAGGACTAAGACATGTTGAGCATTGTTTATTGTCAACAACGTTAGGTTACAAAAAATCATATTCAAATGAACAAAAGTAGCAAGAGAAGGAACTTGTAACAACATAACAACACTTTATTGTACCAAAATAACTTGAGTTGAAGGTAAAGGCTCATTCCTTCTTGGCATGCTTCACAGTCTTGGTTGCAGATTGTTTGGGTGACAACATAGTTGAAGTTCCTAGCTCCTCAATAGAATATTCTTGGGACAACCTCTTGGAAGGGGTATTGCTTGAATAGGCTTCGTCGCTTAAATTTTGTGAAGCAGACATGGTTGACTGGAAGTTGGAAATGGAAGCTATGAGTTCTTAGTGCAATAAAATTTTTAAGATAATAATAAATTAAGACAAATATAACTTGGAAAAAAACTTACTGTATGAAGGGAAGTAGGAGTCACTGTTTCATTATCGAGTATATGATGGTTAAGAACAAATTCTTTTCCTTTTGTAGTCGGAGCATTCATGGTGTTTTTAGAAGTCAACTACATGAGAATATATTGTATGGTCAGTATGTTTGTGTTAGACATGAAGAATGTAATTAAATTTTGATGACTCAATGCATCATAAACCTTATTTGGATGAATGACATCTTTGAACATTTTGATTACTTCTTTGTCCTCAGTAAGCTTGACAACAGATGCTTTCTTAAAGTTCGGCTGAAACTTCACGCGAAAAGAAAATTCCTTTTCTAATAGTTTGTCCAAGTTTTTAGGATAGATTTGTGGATGATCTTCATTGGACTACAAATGTATAAAAGGTAAACATTACATAGTAACATTAATGATTTACATAACTGTTTTTTCAAAAGAAATGAAATAGTAGCATGAATAACGATAGACTGACAAAACAAAATTGATATATGTATGAGATAGGATGACATTATCTGTACTAAGTATATGAGGTATTAGCATTAATTAGTACACTCAATTATAATGGAAGACAATGATAAATCCTAAAGTAGCATAAGTTAATTAGAATAAGTGTAGCAGTACCGACAATTTTAATCATGCTACATTGACAGACAAAATTTCACATTCATGGCATAGTACAAAAATCATGACATAAAAGTAGGAGCTAACGAATAGCACAACTAAATCATGATAAATCATCGTTAAAACAATTATTTTGCCAATACAATTTAAAACAGACATGATATAGCTAATAAATATGATGGACAGAGGCCATGTTCATTCACTCAAGAGTTATAATTTACTTCAAAATAAAACATTGAGTTTTAAATATAAATCGTCCGATTTTCATCCAACGACAGTGAATGGATCGAATGCGTGAATGCGGGAACTAATGAATCTAGCTAAAGTATGATAAATTATGTTGCTAAGCTATGCTAAAATATGTTGCAATAATGTGATAAAAAAAGTACCAATGGTAAGTCAATCACATGATTTCAATCAATAGACATTGTCTAATTTTACAAATCATAACATATGGCAGCAATATATGACATATCATTAGAGCTTACATTAGTTACAAAAAACATGTAGATGACAATGACATATAACATATATCAGAGCTTATATTAGAGCAACATACAACATATAACATATAGATGACAATGTCGTCCTAAAAAATCAAAAACATTAAATAGTTGTATACATTTGAAGTATTAAGCCATCTCCACTGAAAAAATCCATAACACAAGAGTAGAACCTAACTAATATGACACATCAGTTCTGATATAGTTGGAAACCAAACTTTATATTACCTATCCAATTCAAACATACATGATCTAGCCAATTAATATTTCGTACAGTGGTTATGTGCACACGTTCAATGTATCAAGCAGACGTTAAAGTACATAATATTTACGTACCTTTTTCATGATTTCTCTTAAATCATGTGTTGGCATTCCAACATATTGAATACACTCCTTGTCCCAAAACACAAAATAACCAGTCGTGCAATCATTTTCGACCTCGATTTCGATTTTATACCTAAGGAAATGGTTGAAATATAATTAAATTAACCAACATGTTTAAATAAGGTTCTTAGATAATTTATATATTAACTAAAAAATATGTGCTTACTTGGTGAGTGGTGGAGGTGTATTTTCACAACATGTGCATATGAATGGCTGCCCAGGAAATTTATTAGTTCTGTTACATGCTGGACACTCCTCATAGTACCAACCAAACCTACTTGACTTGAACCTCTTAGTGGTTCCAAAAGTGTTGCAAAAAGTTTGCTATAAATAAACATGGCATGTTATATTATTGGAAACTTGCAATTGAGTAAAAATGAAGGAAACATCATTAAAAATGGATATGTTGGATCGTGATAAAAACTTGAGCATAGGAACTAATAAGCTTACATCTTGAAGAATAATGATGTCATCAATGGTTTTGACATCATTGGTGTAGGAGAAAGATCGGTCCACAAACGACCCTTGTGGTGTAGAAGGTTGGGAGAGTGGTTGTGAAAGAAATTGTGAACTCGCATTGTCTCCCAACCTAAATAAAATTGAAACATTATATATAGTGGAGTACATAAAAGGGATTTAACTAAAAGGCATTGAGTGATATTTCCTTACTTGGATTTGAATGCTGTGATCTGTGGATGAACAAAATCAAGAAGCAATTTGGATCCATTCCAAGCATTTGAGATGTGCAATTTTCCGGTGGCTGCAAAAAAATAATAGTGTCATAACAGTAAGAGTAATATAAGAAGCCAATCACAAATGAAAGGAATAAAAGTGAAATAACATTTTCAAGCATTACTTGAACTTTTTCTGGCACATAGCATGAGTGATTATTATTATAGTCTGGCCATGTGCAGTATGCTCAATCGAGTATGCCATGAATTGGTTGGCATATGCTTCCCAAAGTGTAATATCTATTTCAGAACCACTAATAATAAAGAGAGATAAGTAGTTAATATAGATAAAAAATGTAGTACCAAAAGAGATAAATAAGTTATAATGTGATATATATATATATATATATATATATATATATATATATATATATATATATATATATATATATATATATATATATATATATATATATATATATATATATATATATATATATATATATATATATATATATATATATATATATATATATATATATATATATATATATATATATATATATATATATATATATATATATTTATTTCATCCGATAAGATAATGTTGACACAAGCCTTCTTTCCGCCTCCTGCAACTTGAGACTTGACTACTTGGTGAAGTACACCAATGACATCTGTTTGATATTAAGGCCAAATGGTTAGTCTATTGACTTTCACAAACATGTAATAATGCAGATCATGTTTAAGCAAATTTCAAATACCATATAAGCAGTTGACTTGGAAATCTCCGTGTAAAAAATCGAAGATGGGTTTGAAATGAAATTGATGTTGTGGTATTTATGGTATGTCTACCATGGTTACAGTGGTTCCACTATTGAAAAAAAGCTTCAAGAGATTTTCATAGATTTTCAAAGGAAGATCATTGTTTAACAAATCAGCATTATAAACCATATAAGTCTTATGTTCTTGTAACCTCTGTTTCCACAAATCGAAATCTCTGTTGCGGGTAACGACGTGTATTTTATCACACTATGAATCAAATGAATAGTTAGTACATATTTTAATTTATGTTAAAGTTAGATAACATATTTACAAAAATAATGCATACCTTGCTATCTTGGATAACACATTCAAAATATTGATGTCCATTACGCTCGGTTACAGTCCATAGATCAACAACACAGATGGAGAGCTTCCATACATTGTTTCCTAGCTTCAAATCAGCAATCATAATAGGTGCTCTAGACATGGTGATCTGAAAAGTAACAACAACTATTTCTGAAGTTAATTATCATAATAACCAATTTAGAAAAAAAGGATGTTGTGGAAGTACTTGTTCTGCTTTTCTATATCAGTAGTTTGGTGTTTATAACAATATCAGTAGTTTGCTTTTCTATAACAGATTTTGAATGTGTACTTGAGACTAAAATATATTTGCAATACAGTCAATATGTTTACAAATTATCCAAGATGAATACAAATTTTTTCAGAGATGAATAACAATAACCAAATGTACAAAAATTTTTAGTAAAGCTTGTAGCTTTCTTATCGGGAAAAAAGATGAACACGGGTCAACATTCATCTCAAACTTCCTCAGAACACAGATACTTTACACGCGATAAAACCGATTCAAAACAACATCATGATAATCAAACCCACAATGATTGTAAACCCACAATCAGGAACATTAAAGAAATCGGGTTGAAAAGAATGAAGAAGGAATAAAAACCTCGACTCTTGGTTTGTGAAACAAAAAACTAGGAAAACAAAAAATAAAACAATGTGCAAACTATGATGTGCAGGGAGAGAGGCGATGAAGGTAGAAGCATGTACCTTCTTTTTTTTTCTCGCTCGCAAGCAATAAAGACGAGGACAGAAGATGATGATGTTCTTCTCTGAAGTATGATGTGTGCAGAGAAAATAGTTTGAAGAAGAAAGAGATATAGACGAGGCTGGAAATCGTGAAAAGAGAGGGAAAAATGATATAACTATTGGGACCAATTGTTAAGTGACGTGTGGATGAAAAAAATGTTCTTAGCAAGTCTAAGATATATGAATATGTTGATTACAAAATTGTCCCTGTTGAATGCAAAATGTAAAATTGGTTAAAGGATATATTAGTAAAAATGGTGACATTGAATAGTAATGGATAGGTAGTTGATTACGTATCTTCACGTGACTTTCTAGAGAGAAGGTAAATTTTCTCTCTTTAAGTGTCTTATTGTGTTTCTTGCCCTCTTTCTGTGTTAGGTTTGCGGTGACCTTTCAATTCCAGATTTCTAAACCTTCTCAACCCAGTGTAGGATTGAGTTTCTTCTCAATGCTGTGTTTATTGTGATTCTTCTTGATCTCTTGAAAGATTGAAAAATGGAAATCATTCACTCTATCGAAGAAAGAAGAAGAAGGGGTAGTTGCGGATAAGGAAGAAATATTCGAAGATGAATCCTTCCAAAGAATCCTCGTCGGGAAATTATGGACTGAAAGCAATTTCAACACTAGAATTTTCAAGACTACAATGTTAAACGCTTGGAAGTTGAAGCACACCGTGTAAATACAAGATCTGAGCAAAAACTTGTTTCTCTTCAAGTTCAGTTCAAGACGAGATTTGGAGCACGTTCACAAGACATGCCCATGGAGTTTTGATAGAACATTGCTGGTCTTGAATTGCATCTTCTGCAAAAAAACAATTGTCGGATCGAAACATGCATTATAGCTCCTTCTAGGTTAGAATATATGAGCTTCTTCTTATTCTTGTATCGGAAAGAATGGATAGGAAGTCAGGAAATATTATTGGTACCTTTGAAGAAATGGATGTTAAAGAAGCACATCGGCATGGCAGGTTTTTGCACATCAAAGTCACCATTAATCTAAAGGAGCCCTTGAAGCGTGGAACAGTGGTGAAGTTCAAAGAAAAAAACCTAAGGGTTCATTTTAAGTACGAAAGATTAGCGACATTTTATTCCGTGTGCGAAAGAGTGGGTCACCAGATTAAAGATTGTGAGGCGGTAGAGGAACTAAATAAGGAAGGGTTTAAGGAACTAGAAGAACAAGATTTATCCTTTGGGCAATGGCTTTATGCGTCTCCTCTTCCAAAGTTGATGGAAGAAACTAAAAAGAAAGGCTTGAGTTCAAGTCTCTGCAGAAGAGATCTCTTCAATGTCTCTTTTAGTCAAAGTCGTTGTGAAACAAAAGGGAAAGGCAAGGGTGAGGATCCTGAGGTTTAACAAAATAACTTGGTTTCAAAACATCAAGAAGGAAGCTTTATGCATGGAGAGAAAAATACTTCCAACAATGTGGATGTGGAGACTGTAGCTGAATCGCTTGGAGCTGTTATATTATCAGTAGTGAGGGTCCCTCAAAAGACTATTGCAAATAAGGATGGGGTACAGAAAAGGAAATTGACAAGAAGGAAGACCACAAAGGATGTGAAAACTGATGGTGGAAAGACCGTTAAATCGAAGCTTGCAAAGCGACAAATTATGGATGTTGTGATAACAAAGGGTCCTATAGAAGAAGGTGTTCTTGGAGAAAAGAAAAGGAAACAAAATGCAGCTAGAAGCGAATGTTACAACATTTTACCAGAGGTGGTGTTGGATGACCAACACCGCCTTCCCCAATGAAAACTATTAGTTGGAACTGCATGGGTCTAGGGAGCCCCTGTGCAGTTTGAGCCCTATTTAGGCTCCTTTGTGTTGTAAATCCCTAGCTTGTTATCATGCTAGAGACTAAGCTCAAGAAAGAAGAACTGCTGACTCTCAAAAGGAAATTTAGATTCAACTTTGATGTGTCTTTTGATTGTAGGGGTTTGGGGAGAGACAGGGCTGGTGGAATGTGTTTATGATGAAGAGAAAATAAGTTCTGATGATAGAAATGGAAAAATTACAAGTTCTATATATAAAGATATATTTATGACCTAAAAAGCACTTAAATAAAGAACAAAAGATGTTCTATTTCCGCCCATTCGCCAGGCGAACAGGGGCCTTCGCCAGGCGAACAACAGAACCAAGGCACTTCAAAGTGCCTCCAGCAGCAAACCGCCCTCTGAGATATCGCGCCTTCTCCAGGCGAAGGAATCACTCGCCAGGCGAACCTTCGATGGCTCCACTCGCCAGGCGAACTTTATGTCCTTTTGGTCTAGGAGTTTCATTAGAATTACTCGCCCTGGCTCGCCAGCACTCGCCTGACGAACCTTCGCAGGCACTCGCTGAGCTTCGTCAGGCGAACATGATAGATTCCAGCTTCTTCCAGCAGCTCTGATTTCGCCTAGTGAGATGACAATATTTTGGTGGTTTGCATATTGTCTTGGTTTCCTTGCCCATTTCTTGTGTCTTACTCTTCACTTGTTTTGTGCCTAATTCCTGCACAATAACACACAAATCAAAGGTACCAAGAGCTTTTCACACTATATTGCAAACCACACAAAACAAGAGTGGTTTTCTACACTTAATTGACGAAAATGAGTGAAAAATGCCAACTTTTGATAGATCAAATAAGTGAAATTTGGCATCTAACAACTCGCCCCAACTAGCTTTTTCCTTGTCCTCAAGCAAAGTATGCCTCTCATTTCGCAACAAGAGGATTTGCTCAAGACTAAGATTCACCAAGAATGGATAAAATCGGCTCAAACACAAATGATGCAAACAAGCCATGGTTTTAAATGTTTAGAATCAAACAATGCACAAGAACTAAATTCTTAAAGCAAATATAAAGCCATGTATCAATCAACAACTATGTTTTCATGAATGAATCACTTTATCTCTCCTCTTCGAATAAGGATTGAAGAAATTACGCGTTTGCAACCGCGGGGACAATTTCACTCAACTAACAAACAATGCCAATATCAATTCAATTCATACAAAATCTAACAATCAAAAGCGAAAATATGGAAGCAAGAAGATCACTAAGGTCTTTAAGGTTGTAGCTTGGTCGGGTTTACAAACAAGGGACATTTCTAAGGCTATTAAAACGAAATTGCCGATGCAAAAGAGACATTTACCGAACACATTATTTACACACCTCAACTTCATTCCATTTGTTTCTTAGTTGCAAACCTTCACAAACCTTACTTCACAACTTATTCTTTCACTATTTTTCTTTTCCAAGCAAGCATTCTTTTTCTTTTTTTTTCTTCTTTTTTTTTTTTTTCATATTTACACAATTTTTTTGGTGCTTACTTGAATTTTTCAAAAGTTGTAGCAACCTACTATCTTCCTTTTTCATTCGCCCCAACTTAACTTTTACTCAACCCTCAAGTGAATGCTCTTAGTTTTGTATGGCAAAGAAGACAATTAAAACAAATTCAAGGGTTCAAGAAAAATTTTAGAATCTCTCAAAATTAAGAATGAGATTCACATTGTTTAGGCTCAAATGGGTTAACGAATACTTTCTCAACTCACGGGTAAGTTTGCGTTTGGAACTGGTTGTACTCAATATAAACAAGTGCCTTGATCATTTCTAATGCTTCCATAAATTCACAATGATAACAAGATAAAGCATGAATCATACGAATCAACAAAGTTTATCAGAAATCCAGCATTTAGTAAACAATGGAAGCTTTCTCACAAATTGTGGTTTTTGGTCCTAAGTGAAACAATCATTCAAACAAGTTGGCAAAAGAACATATTTCATTTGCACAAAGACTTAAGTTCTTAAGCATTCTAAAATTCTAAACAAAAGAGACCATGTACCTTGATAATATTCACTTATTTCATACTATCATTGCCATCCAAACTCGGTCGAAGCCTCATTAAATGCTTTTATACCGATAGCAACCACTCTAGAAGGAGTTTTCGTCATTCCTGAACACACTAGAAAAACCATAAAAAGAACAAGGTACATGGAAACATTGCAATGCACTTCAATATCTCAACACCAATCCCCGACAACGACGCCATTTTGTTGGTACGGTAAAGCAGCAAGCAAAAAATGTTAAGTACCCAGTTTTGTCGTCTCCACAGGGATTAGTGCGATCTGAACGCCGTTCAACGATTTCTACATTTCTAAGCTTAATTTCAAAAGGTTTGGTTTAAAAGGTTCAAAGATCAATAGATTAAAATAGAAAGTATAAAATAAAGACTGAAATATAAACGGAGCCTTGTTGGGATTGGATTTCATCAATTAATAACATATGCATTCTTCTGATCAAATTAAACACAACGCAATCATTCGTCTAATATCCTCACGTATCACTCACGACAAAGCTTATTTCTAACGCGGCGTCAAGAGAACAACCGTGTTGTTTCATTGGTGATCTCTCACCCAACAAAAACACAACACAGAGCATTAAGATCTGATACTCATGCAAATGCTAAGCCTAAATCTATCTCTAGTATTTAGGACCTAACAGGTGATTTTCCTAGTTCCAGATCCGAAAAGCGTATCTCTACCACGATTCAAATCAAAGATAAACAGGTAAACAAGGATAACACCCATATCGGATAAACAATTGTTTCGCGTAAAACATGATGATCAAAATACGTACACACGCTTAACCCTTTTTACATGTATTCATATAATCCGCCAAATGTCGGTGAACATCGTTCTTCATCACTATTATCACATACCCACACAATATTATATTGATCCTACCCATTCTACCCATGCTACTTAATCAACACAACACCATAGAGGATAAAATGAATATCAACTTCAAAACCATGTCAAAAGTTTGTTCATTGATAGAAGAAGATCTGAGATCAAAGATGTGAAAAGGTTTTGTCAAGACCCACAAATACATAATCAAAGATAATCAATCAATAGAGAATCCAAACTAGTTCACAAACATAAATTAGATGAAATACATAAGGTATCAAAAAATTACAATCCAAACTCCAACAAGAGATCGAAGATCTTACCTCCTCCCTTTTAGGGTTTTATGCTTCTCTCTCTAAAATAGATGAAGAGAAAATAAGTTCTGATGATAGAAATGGAAAAATTACAAGTTCTATATATAAAGATATATTTATGACATAAAAAGCACTTAAATAAAGAACAAAAGATGTTCTATTTCTGCCCATTCGCCAGGCAAACAGGGGCCTTTGCCAGGCGAACAACAGAACCAAGGCACTTCAAAGTGCCTCCAGCAGCAAACCGCCCTCTGAGATATCGCGCCTTCGCCAGGCAAAGGAATCACTCGCCAGGCGAACCTTCGCTGGCTCCACTCGCCAGGCGAACTTTATGTCCTTTTGGTCTGGGAGTTTCATTAGAATTACTCGCCCTGGCTCGCCAGCACTCGCCTGGCGAACCTTTGCAGGCACTCGCCGAGCTTTGCCAGGCGAACATGACAGATTCCAGCTCCTTCCAGCAGCTCTGATTTCGCCTAGTGAGCATGACAACATTTTGGTGGTTTGCATATTGTCTTGGTTTCCTTTCCCATTTCTTGTGTCTTACTCTTCACTTGTTTTGTGCCTAATTCCTGCACAATAACACACAAATCAAAGGTACCAAGAGCTTTTCACACTATATTGCAAACCACACAAAACAAGAGTGGTTTTCTACACTTAATTGACAAAAATGAGTGAAAAATGCCAACTTTTGATAGATCAAATAAGTGAAATTTGGCATCTAACAACTCGCCCCAACTAGCTTTTTGCTTGTTCTCAAGCAAAGTATGCCTCTCATTTCGCAACAAGAGGTTTTGCTCAAGACTAAGATTCACCAAGAATGGATAAAATTGGCTCAAACACAAATGATGCAAACAAGCCATGGTTTTAAATGTTTAGAATCAAACAATGCACAAGAACTAAATTCTTAAAGCAAATATAAAGCCATGTATCAATCAAAAACTATGTTTTCATGAATGAATCACTATCTCTCCTCTTCGAATAAGGATTGAAGAAATTACGCGTTTGCAACCGCGGGGACAATTTCACTCAACTAACAAACAATGCCAATATCAATTCAATTCATACAAAATCTAACAATCAAAAACGAAAATATGGAAGCAAGAAGATCACTAAGGTCTTTAAGGTTGTAGATTGGTCGGGCTTACAAACAAGGGACATTTCTAAGGCTATTGAAACGAAATTGCCGATGCAAAAGAGACATTCACCGAACACATTATTTACGCACCTCAACTTCATTCCATTTGTTTCTTAGTTGCAAACCTTCACAAACCTTATTTCACAACTTATTCTTTCACTATTTTTCTTTTCCAAGCAAGCATTCTTTTTCTTTTCTTTTTTTTTCTTCTTTTGTTTTTTCATATTTACACAATTTTTTTGGTGCTTGCTTGAATTTTTCAAAAGTTGTAGCAACCTACTATCTTCCTTTTTCATTCGCCCCAACTTAACTTTTACTCAACCCTAAAGTGAATGCTCTTAGCTTTGTATGGCAAAGAAGACAGTTAAAACAAATTCAAGGGTTCAAGAAAAATTTTAGAATCTCTCAAAATTAAGAATGAGATTCACATTGTTTAGGCTCAAAGGGGTTAACGAATACTCTCTCAACTCACGGGTAAGTTTGCGTTTGGAACTGGTTGTACTCAATATAAACAAGTGCCTTGATCATTTCTAATGCTTCCATAAATTCACAATGATAACAAGATAAAGCATGAATCATACGAATCAACAAAGTTTATCAGAAATCCAGCATTTAGTAAACAATGGAAGCTTTCTCACAA